CTTTCCCTATAAGTTATGTAACTTTGTAGAATAATTTGATTAAAATGCAGTTAGGAGAACCATATAACTTGTTGTCAGGTTTTTAGAATCTGCTTTTTGAGTTTTAGAGTTGGATGGTGGTATCAGTTCCATTCATTAGCTGCATATTAATCACTCTACTAAAAGAAGTAATACCTTGCAGGATTTAAGTCTCTCGAGGAGCTTTACTACAGGACGTGGCTGCACAGGTGCCATTTATATTTTAGTTTTTTAATTTCCATGTCTTCGGTTGTGCTTGTCATTCCTAGTTTTCTGCTATATCAAGTGGTTGCTGAAGTTGATATTGCGTAGCCTATTTACGATTATGTTCACTGTATGCCTCATCAATGATGTTCTCTATGTAGTTGATAATCTCTTTTGAATGGTCGTCATGTATATATGGAGCTTGTTAACATGTTATGGCTAGTCATTCCTTTCTAACAGACTCATGCTTTGGCCGAAGCACTCGTGCTTATTTTCCATGGAATCTTTACTATCTAGAAAACTTTTGCAGTGGGCAACGAGTGATTGTTCAAGAAAAAAATGGAGATCAAATTGTTGAGAATGTCGTGACTATCCAGGTATTGGCTCAGATTATGTACACTTTGTTGATCATAGTAGATGTAGCGGTTGTAATATTGAAATGGACTGACCCTCCCCTTCATGTCCATGTCCCTTACATTTTCCAGGGTCTGACATCTTCAGGATATTTGCTAGCTACAGGAGATGACAATCAAATGTACGAGCTTCACCCTGACGGCAATAGGTACTTTTTTCTTTCTTTCTGAAATCGCAATGCCTCCACTTAGTGAAATCGCAATGTCCTGATAATCATATACTAATATAGAATTTCTTGTATCACTACAGCTTTGACTTCTTCAAAGGCCTGGTCCGGAGAAAACTGTGAACTTAAGAAGATTTCTTGGCATCTTCAGATTGAGGCAAACGCCGTACTACAACACCACACCCGCACAAAACTAGTACTTCTTTCTCCTCTAAAACATGAATGAATTGCCTTAGTATCTCATGTTTCTGTTAATTTATGACAAATGATGTCGACCTTAGAACAGGATGGTGTTGGTTGTTCGTACACTTGTACATCAACCGACTGGAAATATCTGTCCTCAAGTGCTTATGTTGCGTCATATACAGCACAACCTCTCGAGATCATAAGGATTTTTTTTTTCTTTCATTCTGAAAACTGGGTATATCATTCAAGATCGATTGCTTAAAATTATACATCATTGTTGACTTTGGCTCCTTTACCCTCGGTGGGTTCACTGAGATCCACATTTTAAGTTCACTTTGTTCTTTTTTTTTTGGGTAGAACACCATCATGTTTGTGACTTTGCCCCACTGTTATAAGTAAGGCGATAACTTCAGCGTTTTAATATTCGGATGTTTAGGATTTTAAATAGTAAAACATTTAAGGACGATCATTCTGGGTTTTATTTTGAGATCAATTCGTTTATGTTTGGTTTGAATTTTTCCATTTTAGATTAATTATGTCAATTCTGTTTTTATATTAGATTTTTTTTTAAAATTCAGCTTCGATTTGGATTTGGATTTTATTGATAAAGTTACTTTTTAATAAAAATTGGGTTTTCCAATTATATTTATATTATGTTTGGGTTTGATTTGAATTTTTTATTTTTCCAAAAAAAAAACGTCCGATTTATATACTGAATTCAATTCGAATACAATTATATATTATTCTGTTTAGATCAAATTTAATTATATATTAATTTAATATTTTGGAGAAAAAGAGGGAAAGATTTTTATGAACTATCATTTCCCCCTCTTTTCCTTTAAAATATTACACACAGCTAATCTTTTTAGAATTTTCGAAAGAAAAACCGTCATAGTTCTCTCCCTACCTCCTCACACACTAATCAAATGATGCGTTTTGGTTTTTATGTTAAAAAACATTTTTCCCCGCGTAAAATGAAGATCGAATTTACATCGTTTTGTTTAAAGCGAGGGGGTTTTCCGAAAGTTCGGAATATAATAGGATGAGTCCACACCCCGCATTGGACAAGTGACGATATTTTCCGAAGAAAATTGGCTGCTTTTTCTTGGAAAATATCTAATTTATTTTTTGAAAGTTCATATTTTTGTAATTCATCTTCTTCTTCTTCTTCTTTTTCATCTACCATATTTTATGACGAAAATATTTTATTACCGCAATTTTTGGAGCCCATGTGATAAAGTGTTTGTTCAAATTTGGCAGAATTTCTTGAAATATGGAAATACCAGAAAGTGCAAAAGGGCATGTGACTGGTCTCAACTTCAACACTGTTCCCCAATTCACAATTTGATTCTCGAATAGACGTAAATGAATATTTGTGACATTTCAATTTATTTCCCGACAAATAAACACCGATTATTAAACTGCCACGTGTCATCCATATGAAAGGTCAAACCAAACTGCACACAACGTCCAACGCCAATGCAATGGCTATTGTATTTCGTTTGTGTTTGCGCTCATATATTGGTAATTTGGGATAAATACATTATTATAATAACTCATTAATAAAAAATAGTAAGATAGTTTTAGAATATATTATATTAATTTAGATGTAGTTTATTTTATTTTTTTTTAAATTATCACCATCATTTATGTTACGTCGAATATTGGATCATGAAATATTGAATAGTTTTTTATTAAAATATATTTTGAAAAACAAAAGACGAGTTTTTAAATGTATGAAAAAAATCGAATTAAAAGAAATACAAATATTAAAATATACGTATTTATGATGATTAAATCGTTTTCAACTTTTCATTGTAACAGTCTCTGTGTTTATTTGAAATCGAATGATGTTTATACTTATACGGTTTATTAGAGGTCACAATTTTTCGCCGTAGTATCCATTATTTAAGTTTTCAATATTTTTCAAAGTATTTGTACGATTTTTTTTTTTTGTATGGAAACGTTTTCTTGTTTCGCTTGTGATCTTCGTTTGTCACGTAGACCACGTCAACAACTGTCATCTGGACCCCACATGTCGAATTATATGTAACAAGTATGTGTGCGTGCATTTCACATTTTGATGGACCGCACAACTCTAAATATTTACATAACCAAATCTTTGTTTTATATCTAGCAAAACATTTTTAATTTATTAAAATCAAAACATATATCAAACTTTCGAAAATCTCATATTAAATAAACCCCAATATCTACATTTATTCTATTTAAACCTTCATATATATATATATATATCAAACTAATTATTATTATTATTATCTTGTCTAACTAATTATAATGTTTATCTTCTTTTCGTGCTTGTTCTCTTCAAACATTATATAGTAGTAGGGTTTAAAAATATTTCAGGCTAAAAGAATTATAATTTAACATGAGATTTTTAAAGTTAATATTTTTTTTCCGAATAAGGTTAGAAATTAAACACAAAATACAAATAATAATAATAATAATAATAATAATAATAATAATAATAATAATAATAATAATAGAATTATGGGCAAAAACAAGAACAAAAAAACATATAAAAAGGGAAGATATTTCATGAAAGAGATCCGATAAGAAAAATTAAAAATGGACCACTTCAAACCCAAACAACGAGACACCCATCCATCGGTTATCGACGCCTAAAGTGATTGGCATCAACACCGTTTTTAACGGTCCACGTTCCTAAATCATAACGTAAATACTTATTATATATATGCAATCTAATATATATAATATATAAATATCTACGCCTATACAAACACGTATATTTATAGATTTATAGAAAACTTTATAATACGACACCGTCTTATTTGAAATGTCTCTTGTTGGTTGCTTGGAATTAGAATTTCCACCACAAACAAACGTTTCTTATAATAAAAAAAAATACGAGAAAAAAAATATAAACCAAAATACTTCACCACGTGTTTCTACGTGGCTCCTTATTGATTTTCCACGTGTCGAACTTTGTATGGGTGGTCCGCGTAATGATTGTACACCCTGCGGTATACGAACAAAACTCCTGCGAACCAATTTTACCGGCAATTATGAACGATTCTTTAGATAATTCAACGTTTTAGTGTTTTTAATAAGACGAACAAATTCTTAGATATATATATATATATTCTTGACGCACTAAAAATGTATTAATATTCTCCAAATAAACTTATTGAAATAGAATTATAGATAAACATAGAAATATTGATATAAGATAAGTATGGAGAGAATTTCTCTTGGCTTTTTTTTTTCCAAAATAATGAGATTACGTACATATATGTAATGTTGAGCTCATTGAATTATATATTTTTTTTTGTGACGATTGAAATCTTATAATGGTATATGTTATATCCTATTCATCTGTCGTAGAGTCCGTATATTGAACTCTATTACATTGCGTATATATCTGTAATCACTTGCAGACATAACTCATTCTGTAAAGCCACGTCAGCAGCCAGCGAAGCGAAGACGGCACCGTTTTCTATGATATGAGTAAATCGAATAAATCCACAAAAAAATAATAAATAAGTTATAAATTTAATATTCTCCGTCTCCGGTGACTCGTATCTTCTGCTCCTACCGAACATCTCGGTTTCTTCTCTGACCCGTTTTCATCTTCTCCTCCTCTCCACGAATACTCCGCCTCTCTCTCTCTCTCTCTCTCTCTCTCTCTCTCTCTCTCTCTCAATCTACTTGAATTTCAATCTATCTCCTCTCTCCCCTTATCCCTTACTCGCTGCTCTGCCATGATCGGCGGTTTGTCCTCCTCCTCCTCCTCCTCCTCCACCTCCACCTCCACCGCCGCAGCCGAATCCGGCGTCCTTCTTCGCGGCGTCATCGGATCCGAAGGCATCGATCTCTCCGATTCATCCTCCTCCTAGGTTTTGCTCGCTACATGCATCCTTTCTGTTGCGTCTCCGATCACTCCGCTTCCAAGGCCTTACCGGAGCCGCCGTCTCCGATGTACGCTGCCTCCTCCGGAACTCCGTCCACCTCCGTGAGATCCGAACCGGTTATGAACCGATCCGCGTCCCAGATATACAACCATTCCTCCGCTCAATCCAATCACCATCTCCTCCTCCACAGCCTCTCTTTCAACAACCACAGTGACGCTGCCGGCCGCTTGGGCCACCGCGTCCTCGCCTTGCCTGCGTCGGCGAGGGACCCGCCTGTGGATTTGAAGATCAACGATATCGTCGGAAATGGTATTGCTGGGATACTGTACAAGTGGGTCAACTATGGCAGAGGATGGAGACCGAGGTGGTTCGTTTTGCAGGATGGAGTGTTGTCGTATTACAAAATCAATGGACCCGATAAGATCTTCGTTAGCCCTGAGACCGAGAAGGGGTCGAAGGTGATCGGAGAAGAGTCCATGCGTATGATCTCCAGACACAGCAGGCACCACGGCGGCGGCGGCGGCAATCATCAACTCCGCCGCAAGCCTTTCGGCGAAATCCACCTCAAGGTACGACACGAAATCTGTTCATTCGATTCGTTTTTGCTGGGGGAGATTGTAACTTGGGTGGGACTTTATCCCTTTTGTTAGAGGAATTGGATTCGTTCCTTAACAGCCGAATTGCTTGCTGCTGAAGATTGATTCAGTCCTTCCTACTGTATTGCTCGTCCTGAATCCTAATTGATGCAGTTCGAGATCAATCCGTGAGATTCTATGGTCACGGCATATTCATTTTCGTGATATCTGTTCCGTGCAGGTTTCTTCAATTCGGGAGAGCAGATCAGATGACAAGAGATTTTCGATATTCACAGGGACCAAGAGGCTCCATCTGCGTGCTGAGACACGAGAGGACAGAACAGCTTGGATGGAAGCACTTCAGGCCGTCAAAGACATGTTTCCGAGGATATCCAACAGTGAATTGATGGCTCCGACCAACAATTTGGCTGTCTCAACGGAGAAGCTAAGGCAGCTGTTGATGGAGGAAGGAGTGGCTGAGTCGGCCATTCAGGAATGCGAACAAATCATGAGGTCTGAGTTCTCATCACTTCAGAGCCAGCTGCTGCTTCTCAAGCAAAAGCAATGGCTGCTCACCGATACCCTCAGACAATTAGAGGTACTACAAAGCTTTTTACGAACTATAATTGAAATTGCTTGCCTTTGTAATGGCTGTGCTCTTCTATTGTAATTTGTACTTTTCTAGTATAATGTGATGCGCTTTTGTTTAATATATATTGGATTTTATGGCCTGTAATGATCTTTTGATGCCGCTTCTCTTGTCTTCTTCTGTTGTTTAGGACTTGTTAACAATCTTATGCGATTAGTTTCTCCTATTTTCTATGTGCACTCTTGTCGTGGCTAGATTCCGCTAAGAAATTTCTGTTTTTACGTCATCATGTAGACAGAAAAGGTTGATCTGGAGAACACAGTTGTAGATGAGAGTAGACATCCTGAAAATGGAGTTTCCAGTGATTTAAGGCATGAGAAGTTTAGTGGTGAGTCTTTGTTCTTCCCTTTGTTCCTATACACTTTTATGCCCCATTAGAGTTGGTTTTTGACTTGGGCTTCTCCTTCCTGTTTCCCTTTTGTCTCAGAAGGGACTGCAAGTGAATCTGATGATGATAACGAACGAGTTGATGCTGCAGAGGAAGAAACTGATGAGGAAGAAAGTACATTTTTTGATACACGTGACTTTCTTTCTTCGAGTTCTTTCAAAAGTAGCGGATCTGGCTTTCGTACATCGTCATTTTCTTCCGACGAAGAAGGGCTTAATGGGTTTGAGTCAGAAGACAGTATTGACCCTTCCATCAAATCTGTTGGGCTCAACTTTCCTCATGTCAAGCGGCGGAAGAAACTACCCGACCCAGTTGAAAAAGAGAAAAGTGTTAGTCTTTGGTCAATGATCAAAGACAACATAGGGAAGGACCTCACAAAAGTCTGTCTTCCCGTTTACTTCAATGAGCCTCTCTCTTCGCTACAGAAATGTTTTGAGGATTTAGAATACTCTTACCTTCTTGACCGAGCATTTGAATGGGGGAAAAGGGTAAGCCTGTGAATGATCATTTCGTTTAAATTCTTATGCTATTCCCTCAAAGTTGCTCATTACATTTAACGTTTCAGGGCGATAGCCTCATGAGGATTCTTAATGTAGCTGCTTTCGCTGTGTCTGGGTATGCATCAACCGAAGGAAGAATCTGCAAACCTTTTAATCCGTTGCTCGGGGAAACCTATGAAGCTGACTATCCGGATAAAGGCCTTAGATTTTTCTCGGAAAAGGTTTCATTTCACGTCCTGTGAATCTCTTTTCTTTTCTGCATTTGACCGGTGAACTGATAGTCTGATACATTAGCACGGGTTTTTGTTCATTTTGGTGTCAGGTCAGTCATCATCCCATGATTGTAGCATGCCATTGCGACGGAACTGGGTGGAAATTCTGGGGTGACAGCAACTTAAAGAGCAAATTCTGGGGTCGATCAATACAGCTCGATCCTGTCGGTGTATTGACTTTGGAATTTGACGACGGAGAAGTTTTCCGTTGGAGTAAGGTATTACGAATCGAATCATCAGCCAGATGTTTATTTTACGTACCTAATTTAACAAATGCTTGGCCCTACTTTTTCATGCTTGTAGGTGACGACATCGATATACAACCTCATACTCGGTAAATTATACTGCGATCACTACGGTACAATGCGCATAGAGGGCAATGGTGAATACTCCTGTAAGCTTAAATTCAAGGAACAGTCCATCATTGACAGAAATCCTCACCAGGTAAAAGCTCGATTAAGTTCCCTTTACGATCATTTATGGTCTGAGCAAAGTGTTACTTACTCATAACGACCTTACAACAGGTTCAAGGTATAGTTCAAGACAGAAGCGGGAAGACAGTGGCCACACTGTTTGGGAAATGGGACGAGAGCATGCAATACGTGAACGGTGACTGTTCTGGGAAGGGGAAAATGAACGAATCGCTTTCGGGTTCTCATCTTCTCTGGAAACAGAGCAAACCTCCGGAATGTCCCACAAAGTATAACCTAACCCGCTTTGCCATTACATTGAATGAGCTCACACCTGGTCTTAAGGTTATTTATTACGTTCTCAAGAGCTTACGTCTTAATCCTAGCTTTTTCTTTAAAACAGTTCCCACTCAGTTGTCTTTGTTTATTGGTTCCTTGCAGGAGAAGTTACCGCCCACGGATTCGAGGCTCAGACCTGACCAGAGGTACCTGGAGAACGGAGAGTTCGAAATGGCCAATGCAGAGAAGCTGCGGCTCGAACAGCGTCAACGCCAGGTGGGTCACGTCACAACCTGAACTCCCAAACTGTCGACCCCCCCCCCCCCAAAAAAAAAAAAAATTAGCTGATAATTTAGTATCACAAATGGTGGACGCAGATTTCAACCGCGGAGGAAAAAACATGGTTTGCAAGCAATTACAGATCGTTTTGAACTATTATAACAACAAGAACCGTCTTAATAGTGTTTTTGTTCATTGCATTCACCAATCACTACATCCCCAAGATCACGGTTTCTTCACGTAGTGAATGTGAAGTGTGAACCATTTAACAAGCAAGCATGTCATAATACACCAATTCTAAAAGTGTATCTAACTGTAAGCTTTTTGGTTTCCGGGGGGCAGGCGAGGAAGATGCAAGAGAGGGGATGGAAGCCGAGGTGGTTCGAAAAGGAGAAAGGGAGCGATACGTATCGATACATCGGCGGATACTGGGAGGCTCGAGACGACAACGGCCGATGGGAAGGTTGCCCGGACATCTTCGGCCAGATTCCTTCCGACCAGCACCACTTCTCTGAGTAAAGTCCTTGCCCTCTCCAAAAATCCTTCCCCCATTTCTCATCACAGAAAGGAAAAAAAAAAGGAAGGTTCAAATTTTCCCCTCCTCTTTTATAGTTTGCCCATTCCCTTTTTCCTCTCTTTACGTCTCCGTATTCAATTGGTCTTTCACCAGTTTTTGTTTTCTTCTTAATTTCTCATTATTCTTTATCACCCAGAGAATGAGTGGTGTCCCAGAAACCCACTTTATAAATACAGCATTTTTCTCCAAAAACAAAAAACAAAGAGAGGATGAAATCTGATATCCTGTTTGGTTGTACACATTATTCTTAATAATAAATAAATAAAATGAAGCACCTATTCTTTTGATATTTCCTATAAATATAATATTGAATTGTGTGGGATTTGGTAGTAGTGTCACTTAGATTGAGATAAAATCCCAACTCTCATGCCCTTTTTTCATGGGCTTAATCGATCAAAGTATTGTTAATACTATTCATTCGGAGGTTTAGCAATTCTATACAATGTCGATATGTGTGCTATTGGGTGGAATGCTCTTTGTAATTTGATCTCTTTCAAAATATAATCTTAGACTCCTTGTAATTCATGAGATGTCACCTTATAATATTAGGGTTCTACAATAACGTTGGAGGAATCTGCTTTTTCGTTTTTACACAAAAATAGATATTTCGTCTTTCAATTTCCCAAAGGGTAAAAGATTCTGTCTGAAAAATTTAGTTATCTGCGAATGTACATGTATGCATCATCATCGATCATTCATGGCTGCATGTGCTTGTGCATGCACGTACGTACACATTTTGTGTGTTTTGTTCTTGGAATGAAGCATGATATTGAGAACATGAAGAATCCCTAACACATATATATATATATATATGTTTGATAACTGCTTTTGTTGCTGTCATTCCCCCAACTGCTTCTACCACTTTTTTTTTTTTTAATTGGATGTCGCTCTCATTGGACAACATGTCTATATATACGTGTGTATATACATATATAATGAAGATATATGTATATATGTGTATATGAAGATGTGTGACTCATTGACGACTCGTCCCCCCCTCCTCCCCATATTTAGATTAGTCTTCTTCTCTGTCTTAATCAAATCTTGACCGTCCAATAGCTAACCTGAACTCCGCTTATAATGAAGAATACAAATCTTTATATTGTTTTGTGGGCTTTGAAAATGAAGATTGATGTGGTATCCAGTCTATTCACGTCAATGATAAAATCCGATTTTATAGTATGTTGATTTCTATGAAATTTAGGGTTCGAGTTTTTTGCTTGAAATTTCGTTTAAAGACGATGGTTATATAGTTGAGATATATTTTTTTATGAAATAATATGCGGTATATATCCAAGTGCAAGTTGGAGCCAATAATTCTTAGACTCAATCATAAGAGATTGAAACATTGTTGAAAAAAAAAAAGACAAGGATGATGTTTTATTGAACTAATGGAGGAAGGGAAAAGCATCGCAACTTAAACGACAAGAAAATATAATTATGTTTTTATCATCCTTCGAAGCAAACTTCAGCAAATAAATAAATAAATAAATATATATCTAAAAATAAATAAATAAAAAGAGGTAGGGGGGCCGAGAGGCAATGAAAGGACCACTCGGATGTCATCTATAGCTCTGTATACGATGGAGCAGCCCTATTCCTAATTACTAATATATATATATATATAATTAAAATGAAATAATATATGATAAAAATGAAGTTTTTTTATTTAAAAAAAAAACACATTGTTTCTGATTTTTCAGAGAGTGTAAGGACAGCTTCTGTCTCTCTGACCTTTGTGTGTTTTTAGTTCTTGTTTCCTATTTTTTCCCGTCTTGAATTTTTATTCGAAATTATTTGAAAAATTCGCCCCAATAACAATTAAGATAAGGTTTCCAATGGTAATGACCGTGCGATTACAATTAAATTGTATTTTCGTCCTATTCCTTTTTTTTTCTTCATAAAACCCCAAATAGAGAATGCAAGATATGAGAGAATTTTAGAATGATATGATTCCAACAAAAAAAAAAGAACACCAAAGATGTTGGGGACATTGTTCTTCTCATGTCGTCTACGGTCCCTTATTTATTTATTCTCCTTTCATTTTCTGTCGAAAAAATGGCTTTCACTTATTTCTATGGAATTTTATAAAATCATTACACATTGCATATGTATTCGAATTCTAATTTACATTAATAAAAGAAATGATGTATGCATCATCTTTTTTATATATATATAATTACATGTTATAAATTATAATTCGACGAGGAATGTACAAATTAATCTTTTATCTTTGTTATTCGAATTTTATTGATTTGTTCGTATACTTCATTACTTATTATGGATCATAAACTACGAATAAAATAAGTAATAACTATATTGATTTATAAACATCTTTTATATATATATATATATATATATATATATATATATATTGAATTATGTAGTTTTAAAGGCGGCTTCGCTGGAATCTCAACGAATGACGTTCAAACTTCAAGGAATGCGGCACTTTTTTATTTTGGAAAAATTAAACTGACAAACGAAGAAGATTAAGCTCAATAATTATTTAATTAAGAAGAGATTAGATAATACAAAAAAAAATTAAGAAGAGATTAGAGAACAGAGAGATACGCATCACTCAAACGGACGGTTGGATTTTTGTCTGACAAAGACCAGCACCGTTGATCTTCATCCACGTGTTCACATCTCTTCCACGTAGATTTCGTTGCTTACATATATTATATAATCGTACGTATATTCAGATTAAAATTTATATTGCACGAAGAAAGCGAGCGCGAAGGAACAGACCAAAGACTCCAAAGTGTTGGTGTGGTAGTAACATGAACTATCACGTGCTTCGCTGGCCCACGTGCGCGTGTGGACCCCACCACCCGCCAGCCCTTCCCCACTCACAGTAAACATTTAAACAAACCCTTGCAATAAAATAAATAAATAAAAATAAAAATCTTTGGCCAAATCATATCAGTTTATTCAGTATCAGGTTTTATGTTTAATGTTGATTGGCCTCGGATAATATTCAGATGCGTAGAATTGTCCCAAACTGCTTGTCGTTTTTCCACCACTCAAACGACTCGCAAGCTCACGGAAATGAACTCTCTCGGCACGATATCTCAATCTTGAACGGCGAGATTGTCTTTATATATATATATATATATATGTATGTATACGGAGTCTGGGGATTACGAAAATGAAAAATGCTACGAAGATTTGGGAATAAGGTGATAAACCTGATGTCATCATCAAAGACCTATCGACAGAGAAACGACATGCTTGTCGTTTCATTAGAACGGGAGACGCAGCCGTGTCGGGCGAGGCAACCACGAAACGGTGTCGTATTAGATGACACCAAACCCTAATACGGCCTGTTTGGCTCCAAGACAAAATAACTAAGAAGGCAAATTAAACGTCAAATTAAGATAAAATTGTTAAAAAAAATTCGCAATAAAATTAAGATTTCCAATTATGCGCACTTGATATTAATTTCAATTACGATAATATATTTTAACATGTAATAAATTGGTCTAGATATTATATTCCACAAAAAGATAATATTTTAGGTTAATTGCAAACGTAAGAGCAACAAGTAGACAGAAGCCCCCACCTCAAGTGGAAATAAATAGAATTTCAAATTTACAAAGATTCTAATACGATATTAAATTATAAGATAATTTACATGGTATCAAATCATGAGGTAACATATTTTGGTTTTATTGATCATAGAAGGATTATATATATAGTAAGTTTTAATACCCTATTTAGCATAACATTCAACGGACGTTTTATTTATTTTGATGGTAAACAATTATATTCATATTAAATGGCAAATAATAAACTTGTAACTGTATGGACCGACTAAATTAATTTATGAATATCATTTGCTTTTTGAAACATATGATGAACATGTGTTTGTTAATTAATATATTATGCCAAATAATTATGATTCAACTACTCGAAATGTACCATAGAATTAAGCACAGACCCAATGGACATTAACTTGCCTACGTATCTTTAACCCCTCCCCCCCCCCCCCCCAACAAAAA